TGTTGTAATCCGACACGAGACGCGGCAGCGCGTCGACCCACTTGTACGTGCCGTTGAGCGTAAACATCTTCCACATGTCGTTCTTCAACGTACGATTGAACCGCTCGACCACCGACGCCTTCATTACGGAATACGTGGAGTAGTGATTGATGTCGTGCTTCTTCAAGAGTTTCCGCACATCCGAGTTGTAAAACTCCTTCCCCATATCCGTTTGTAGGTTTTTAGGGCATCTCCCGCTCTCGCGAATTATCTTCGCGATAGCGTCAGCCGTCTCGCTACCGCCCTTGCTCCTGAGCGGCGCGGCCCACGCGTACTTGCTCAGCACGTCGATGACGGTGAGCACGTAGTGACGGCCCCTGTTCTGGCTCGAGTACGGCCGCATCTCGACGATGTCGGCCTGCCACAGATCGTCGTATCCCCGTACCACGACGCGTCTTCGCGGAAAATTTCTTCTCGCCGGAGCGTGCAACTCCTCGACGAATCTGCGCCTCTCGACGCTCATAATGATATTCGATGGTCGACTGAGTCGTTTCGTCGATACGCGACTCAATTTATAATGATGCCCGCTTCGCGAAGTTCCTCGACGATCGACAGCATCTCGTTGCCGTGAGCGGCGTTGCCCGCTCGATGCGAAGCGTCGAGCAACCGCAGACGATCCACCAGCTCGTTGGGATCGTCCCAGTGCACGTACCCGATCGCGCCGTCGTTCAACGTCATGGCGCGAGGTACTCCTTTTCCAGATTTTTTCTTCGGCGTGACCAACGGCTTTATTACATTCTTGTACTTGTATCCCCTGTTGGCCAGTACTCGGCCCAGCGGATGGTGCTTGTGTCTGTGCGCGTTCGTCGCCTGCAGCAGGCTCTTGTACTCGCGCATGTCTTGTTCCGTTTGAAGCGTATCGTCGGGAATTCTCTTGAAGATCAGCTCGTAGAGGCCGGGTGTACCGGCGTGTCGCACGCCGTCGATAATTATGTTATCCTCGTTATCCACGTCGAAACGCTTACTGCCGAGCATCAATCCGTCCTTGTCCAAGTAAGCGCCGTACACGCGATCCATCCCACTGTCGTTGAGTCCTCGCAGGACAGGCTCGACGTACCTCAGACTCAGCGGGCCCATATTAATTCGTGATTTCTCTCGGTTCTCCGACGAATGATTCTGATCGGGTATCGCGAGCGTCGCGTACGTTGTCGTCTCGGAGTCGATCGACTCCGACGGTTGGGTAGGTGCATGCGGTGTGGAGGTTATCGGCGTTCGATCGAAGAAACGCGTGCGCGGAGTCACGAAGAAGTCCTCCTCCTCCTCCTCCTCCTCCTCCCTCTTGCGTTTAGGAGTAGCGGCATACGACTCTGTCTTCGTTGCGCGCACGACGGGACCGGCGATCCGTCGCAACGGCTCGACGATAGGCCCGAAACGCCTGTCCAGCGCACGGTCCTCGTCGATTCTACCGGTCTTCAGAGCGCGGTGCTTCCTGCGGATCGACTCGCTCGTCCGCTCGATCTCCCTCGCGATTTTTTCGCGCTCGTTAGCCATCTCGGTCGAGGTACGAACGACGAATGACGGCGTTACGGTATCGCGAACTCGTTAAATCCTCTTCTGTATCTGCCGTTTGCGATCGCACTGTCCTTGTCTATCACTACGAATCCGTACCTGTGTCGCCAACACTCGCGACACAGCGCGCGAAACGCGTCGTACGACATGTCGGTGTTCACGTGGTCGTTGTAAACGTGTCTCAGGTTGGTACCGTCCTGCTCGAACAGAATCAGCAGATTCGCGTTGTCGCGTATCAGATGTTTGGGTATCCTCGCGTACGTCTGACAGAGATAGAAGCAATCGACGTCGGCGTGTCGACCCATCGCGAAGTACTCGCGCACCGCGTTCTGCTTGTCGCACGCCACGTCGTCGAAGACGAAGATGGAATTCGGTAGCGCCTCGTTCGGCGGAACGACGTCGCTGTTGTTGGAGAACGTAAAGTAGCCGATCTCGTCGATAGGTGTCAGCAATTTTTCGAGGTAGCGATACTTTGGCTGTCGCAACGATTTCGAGTAGACGTACACGTTCTCGAAACGTACGCCGTTCGGGCTCTCGAGCAGGCTTATCAGCACGTTGGTCTTGCCGCAGTTCGACGGGCCGCAGACGATCGCGCGTAAGGTACTCGGCAGCATGTTTCCATGCCTGCGCGTTTCCCTCTCCGTCTGCACTTTGGCGTCGAGATTCGACACCTCGATAGCGCGCGACTGACGCACGAACCGCATACTCGCGACTGAAAAACCCGCACCGCGAGCGGGCCTATTTATAGAGACGCGCGGAGCGAAATCGCTCAGTGATCGAGATGTTCGTCGTCGCGTCGGACCGTCTGCACAGCTTGACCTCCGCCGAGCTGGAATACGTACCGAAGGTTATTCTGCTGCGAGAGTGCGAGCAGTACATAGATCTTCTGTGGGACAGACTGCCCGAGCACATACGAGCCGATTCGGAGGTTCAGCGGTACCGCCGGTGCCTGAGGCACTACAACCTGCCGAGTCAGGAGACGCACGTCGACGGTCCAGCGCCGTTGATAAAGAATTGCGGCGAATGTCAGCGAGAAACCTGTTGAATCGGGCGATAAACGCGCTTCCTTTCGAGTTACATATCCCCGGCTACCAGTTTTGCGGCCCCGGCACTCGACTGAGGAAACGATTGGCCAGAGGCGACGCGGGAGTGAATCCGCTGGACGCGGCGTGCCGCGAGCACGACATCGCGTACTCTCGGAGCAGCGATCTCGCCGACAGACACGCGGCGGACGAGGTGCTCGCCGCGGAGGCGCGAAAACGCGTCACCGCGAGAGACTCGGCTCTGGGCGAGAGAGCCGCCGCTGCGGCTATCTGGGCGGCGATGAAAGCCAAGACCAAGATCGGCATGGGCATGAAGAAGAAGAAGGGGGGGAAAAAACCTACCGCGAAGAAACGGATACTTCCGGCCGCGAAACGGGGCGGCGTGTTGCCGATTCTGCCGATGTTGGGCGTCCTCGGGTCCCTGATCGGCGGAGCGGCCGGCGTGGCGAGAGCGGTGAACGCCAGCAAAGCCGCTCGACGTCAGCTCGAGGAGCTGCAACGTCACGATCGCGCGATGGAGCAGGGCCGCGGACTGTATCTCGCCCCGTACGGACGCGGGATGTATCTCGCCCCGTACAAACGCGGACACGGACAGAAAGGAAAAAAAAAAAAAACTTCGAAGAAACGATAAGAATGCCCACGGGCGCGACCACCAACGTGCAACTGGACCGGCTCGCGAGGCGTATGCGCGTACCGTACTTTAGAGGGGTCTTCATGCGCGACGCGTTACCGACGAGCGGCGCGCGCCGCAACGAGAGCGGTATCGTGAATCTGGACGATACCACGGGCCCCGGTACTCATTGGGTGGCGTACGCGAAGAGGAACGACCGCGTCGTGTACTTTGACAGTTTCGGCAATCTCCGGCCGCCCGAGGAACTCGTGCGATACTTCGGCGTTCCGATAGAGTACAATCGAACGTCGTATCAGACGTACGATCAGACCTTTTGCGGACAGATGTGCCTGTGGTTTCTACGAACCGTAGAATTTTAAAAAGCCCGACGAGACGTCGCGCGATCTCATTACTCGTCGAACCGTCATGTCGCTGACACTCACGCTGAGCGGAAGGAGCAGCGTCCTCGCGGCCAGCTACTTTCCCGCGATAGACCTGAGCGACGGCGACTACGAGCTCGGTCTGACGATGTTCGAGACCTATAACACGATACCGAACGTGAACGAATCCAACTACAAATTTTACTTTGGAAACGACGACGAGGAGATTACGATCCCCAAGGGTTCGTACGAACTGCGAGCCATAAACGACTTTCTGAAACGCGCGATCTCGCGGAAACGTCCGCTGCCCGATGGCGCGGTGCGTGGGGACGCGGTGCGTGGAGACGCGAGGGACGCACTTCGCGACGACGACGCGGAGTACCCGATAGCGCTCCGGGCAAACTACAACACGATGAGATGCGAGATCGTGTGCGCCTACCGAATAAATTTTTACAAACCCGACAACATCGGGTCGCTGCTGGGATTCTCGAAGCGCGTACTGGAACCGCGACAATGGCACCGGTCGGACGCGTCGGTCAACATCATGACCGTGAACATCATCCGCGTGGAGTGCAACGTGACGGCGGGCGCGTACAGCAACGGCAACAGCGTACACACGATACACGAATTTTCGCCGCAGGTTCCACCGGGATATAAGGTGTCGGAGAGGCCTACGCAGATCATTTACCTTCCGATCGTCGCACGGAGCGTTACCGATCTTACGATACGCGTCGTCGATCAGAACGGACGACCGATCGATTTTCGCGGGGAGGAGATAACCGTCAGATTGCACGTGAGACGGCGGCAGCGATAGGGCGATGCTCGTGTTGAACCAGCGGATAGATAGCGTATCCTTTACAAAGCCTGTGCCACTCGACAGTGCATCCGAAAAGAAGAAGAAGAGGCTCAGTGCTTCGAACGTGGAGTTTTTGAAATCACTGGGATTCGCGGTGCGCAGAGAACGATGACCGACATTCTGAACGTCAAGGACAAGCCGGTCTTCGACGATCGCATCGTCAAGATCGAGACTCACGCTTACAGCCCGTTCGCCAACACGACGTTCGGACACAGCGACGAGATACGAATACCCATACAGCAGCATGATCTGTACACGCTGCCGTACGAGAGTTTTCTGTACGTCGAGGGACGTTTGACGAAAACCGTGAATGTGGAGAACGCCGACGTCGCGCTGGGAAACAATTGCGTAGCGTTCATGTTCGACGAGATTCGCTACGAACTCGACGGCGCGGAGATCGATCGCAACAGAAACGTGGGCGTAACCAGCACGATCAAGAACTACGTGACGGTGACGTCCGACAGGAGCGTGATTCTGCGAAACGCCGGCTGGGACGCGCAGACCACCAACGACGGGTACTTTAACTTCTGCGTGCCGCTCAACGTACTGCTGGGATTCTGCGAGGATTACAGACGCGTGGTGATCAACGCTCGTCACGAGTTGATTCTGATACGAGCGCGCAACGACGAGAATTGCCTGACGGGAGATTCGGCGGTGCAGCCGAAACTCGAACTGTTCAAGATACAATGGCGAATGCCGCACGTGGTGCCGAGCGACGTGAACAAGCTGGCGATGCTGCGAGCCCTGGAGAGCGGACGATACCTGAGCATGAGTTTCCGTTCGTGGGATCTGTACGAGTACCCGCTGTTGCAGGCCACGACCAAGCACTCGTGGGCCATCAAGACTGCGTCGCAGCTCGAGAAGCCGCGATACGTCATCTTTGCTCTGCAAACGGATCGAAAGAAGATGGCAGCGGACACGAGTCATTTCGACCACTGCAACCTTATCAACGTGAAACTCTACCTGAACTCGGAATGTTATCCGTACGACGACTTGAATCTGGATTTCGCTAGAAACAGATGGGCGATTCTGTACGAAATGTACGCGCGTTTCTGCAAGGGCTACCACGGATACGAGTATGTCGAACCGCATCTCACGGTTTCGTCCTTCCTTCGAAACGGTCCGTTTGTGATCATCGATTGCTCTCGTCAGAACGAATCGGTCAAGAGCGCGACCGTGGACGTGCGAATGGACTTTGAACTCAAAGCGAACGCGCCCGAGAATACCACCGCGTACTGCCTCATCATACACGATCGCGTGGTCGAGTACAACCCGCTGACCAGCGTTGTGCGCAGGATCACCTAGATATAAACGTCCACGAAACATCGTTTGCATCAGTCAACATGCGCACACCGACGTTCGTGGATCTGCAGGGTTTCGTCGTCAACGGTCGATTCGTCGTGAAGGAAGCGGTGGTGCTGACACGCGGAACCGTCCTCGCGCACTACGTCTTTACGAGTCCCGTACCATGGGGGTCATTGACAGGATCCGACAGGTCCTGCGCTTCCTGGTTGATTGCCTGTCACCATGGATTGCGATGGACGGACGGGACGACCCCGTACAGCGAGGCGAAACGCCTGATTACCAGTGCTGTATGCGGGGAGGAGGATGCTGCGGTGTACGTCAAGGGACTTGAGAAACGAACGTGGCTGCGAGACTTGCTTCTGGACGACGCGCACATCGAGACCCTGGATGCTGTTTACGAGGACACTCTATCGTTAGCCGCTATGGATGCCGCTGTGCGATGCGGACATCACGCTACTAATTGCGCCATGCAAAATGTATTCAAACTGTATAACTGGTGGTCGCGAAGACATTTATTGAAATAAAATTTACGTAAACGTATTTTTCTCGTGTATTCTTTCTTCCCATAGTATATAGTATAGTATATAGTACATAGTATATAGTACGTAGTATGTACGCGTCGACGGTATATAGACGGTGCGTAGCGCTCTTTTCGTTCATTCGTAATCTTACACGACATGGACCGACATCGAAAGTCGGTCGACCCACCGGAGAAGGATAAGCCTACGAACCGACCATACTATTTGGAGTTGCCTGCGTCTTCGAAACAAAAGTACGAGTCGAAGGACAAGCC